CCAGCACGGGAGAAAGAGGTAGGGTGGGAAGCAAGGCCAGTCTCCTCTTTTTCACATTTTTCTGCCTGCTTTTTATATTCTGGCAGTGCTGGCAGCTGATTAGATGGTGCCAACCCAGATTAAGGGTGGGTCTGCCTCTCCCAGTCCACTGACTCAAATGTTAATCTCCTTTGGCAACACCCTCACAGACATACCCAAGATCAATACTTGATATCCTTCAATCCAATCAAGTTGATACTCAGTTATTAACCATCTCACATCTGAACCAGATTCTTTCCTTTGGGAGTAAATATATGGAAACCTAACTTGAGAAGTGATGAGAGTATGTCATGGCTCAGGTAGCCCTTCCCATGAACAAGGGTGGAAAGGCCAAATGCCTGCAGACAACCTTGCCCAAAAGAATGGTGGGCTTGGCCATGTGCGTTATCTTCCTGAGTTTCATAATGTATGGAGAGCCACTTAGGGTTTTAGTCCTCTATCTCCCCAACTCTCCAGAACAGATGATGTTATTGGAAATACTTCTCTCCACCCTGGTTAGAGAATATCCTGTCAATCTGAGATTGGCATGATGAAAACTAGAGGGCATTTCTTATTTTTCCAGTAAGGAAAATTATACTGGGACAAATACCCAGTCTTGCCTAACTTTCTAATGGTGTGGTGCTCCCTTAAGAGTGACTGGGTTTGGAGTCTTGGAGACGTGGGTTCAAATCTTCGTTTCTGTAACTTACTAGTGACATATTCTTTGAGCTTTGTCTTACCAGTGAGCCCATAAACTAAATGTAATAGTGACTCCTTCAAAGGGGTCTTAGGAGAACTACCTGAGATTTTTATTTAGTTGCTACTGAATTTTCTAGTACATCACAGGTACTCAATGAATGTGGCAAGCTGTTATCATCATCGTTATTATTATTGGTCATTAATACTATATTCAGTCAAGCTTAAGGGAAACGTGGACACATGGGATGGTGTGATGGTCCTTTAACCATGCTGACCAATCTGGAGCATGAGTTACTTCAGGAGTAGAAATGATCAACTGCCACTGACAAATACGTCATTTCCCATCCAAGAGGTGACCCTGTATAATCTGCCTGGCTGCTGTGCAGACTGAAACTCCAGTCTTTATATGACAGATGCATTTTTTAGACGAATGGTAAATAACCAAATCCCTTTGCAAGCACTGATTCCAACTTAATCAAATAACTGCCGTTCCGCCCTTGTTAATCCTCGGCATGTACCCAAATCTAACTTCCCTGGACTTTTATTTTCTGAGATTGATTATTTTCAGCAGATGGATGGGGTGTCTGTGGCAAAGCATTGCTCATTGTACCCACAGTTCATATTTCAGTAGATAAATATACCACATGCTGTAATCCAGGATTCCAGTGGGCACCCAACCCTAGAGGAAGCTTTGAGGATAGAAGTCAATCAACTCTGAGGGAGGGAGAATCATAGACACTGGCTTTAGTGCTGTGAGTGAGTGCATTGCTGGGAGACTTCTTTGTTTATTTACTCAGATATTAGACAAGTGGAGAGTCAGGCTACCCATGTAATTACTTCTCTGCTCTAAAACATCATTGAATCTGTACAGAAATAATCTTTAGAAAGAAATAATACAAATGTTCACTTTTTAACAGTCGAGGATGGAGAATAGAAAGAGGGTGAATGATAGGTACAAGTATTTTATTTAGAAAAATTCTTAAAATTGACACGTATTTTTCAAATGTCCTAGTTTTGATGTGTTTTTCAGGTAGTCTGAGGTTTCTCTTAAAAGGAAGCTATGTCGTTGATGTTTCACTCCTGGGCTGAAGTTGGATCCCAAAAAGTGTCCCATGATAATGTTTGTCTCATTCAGTTGCCTCATCTTTGTCTTCATTGTGGAGAGAGAAAAAAGAATGATTAGACAAGCAATTGTATGTGCACAAGTACACGTGTGTGCACATCAAGGCTACAGACAGTGCGCAGGCGTATCAACAAATGAATGCATGGGTTCATTTCCAGCAGATAAATGCTACCAAAACGTAATGTTCTTGGTACGTAAAAATCTCAAATCTGAATAAACCTCAAGTAACAGATACAGGCAAAGGGAATTGAACAGACAACTCAAAAAAAAAAAAATTACAAATGGCCAACAAATATATGGAGAACCATCAATGTTAATGGAAATGAAAGAAATGAAAATTAACGTGACATTCTGTTTTCAGCTATCATTGGTGATTTTTAAATGATTTTTAAATGTCAACTTTAAGTTCAGGCTGGCTGCAATGTGGTGGCCGGTGGTCTGTTCATGTATCGGTACCTTTTTTTAAAGTTATTGTGGCCGATGATATATTGTAATACCTGGTAGTTTTCTCCCCAAGTTGTTTATATCTGTTTTCCAGAAAATTATTGGTTCTTCTTGCACATATCCCCTGCCCATCAGATACACTTTAGAATCACTCTTTCAAGTTTCAAAGTATACTTTTGGTGTTTTGATTGAGCAGACATTAACCACATGGATTAACTATAGATTGACTTAGAAAGAAGACACACTTACAATGTTGTCTTCCATCTTCAAAGCTATATTGCTTGTTTGTGTATTTCTTGGACCTTCATCTTTTCATGTCATCCAGAACAAGGAACACCTATGGGCATGGGCACTGCAGATGGAGCTCTTGTGAGGGTGACTAGCACATCTTAGTAAATAAATGATTGTTAAATAAATAAATGAAGGAATGATCCAAGCAATGGAAAGTGAACTCATCCCCGCTTGCTTACCATCTAGCTTGTGCTTAATCCTAGCCCTCCTGCCCTTCCTGGATCTGGGCACCCTGTGCCCTTCTGTTCCTACATGTGTCAGACACTCTTACTCCCCTGAGCCTGGGTACCTGCTGTTGCTTTGGCAGAAGAAATTCCCTTTGCTGCCTCCATCTGCAGCAAACTTCATCTCTTTCTTATTTGATTGTCAGGTCATAGGTCATGCTTATTTCCTCCAGGAAGCCTTTACAGATCTTACTCCTAAAACTGAATTTGGCATCCACCACATAGCATCAGTATTTCCCCTTTGATCAAAGAAGCACCCCCACCCCTCCCTCCCTCCCTCCCTTCCTTCCTTCCCTTTCTTCTTCCCTCCCTCCCTCCCCCCCTGCCCCCCTCCCTCCCCCCCACCCCCCTCCCTCCCTTCCTCCTTCCTTCCTTCCTTCTTTCCTTCCTTCCTTCCTCCCTTCCTTCCTTTCCTCCCTCCCTCCCTCCTTCCCTCCATCCCTCTTTTCTCTCTCTTCTCTCTCTCTTGCTCTCTTACTCTCCTTCCTTCCTTCTTTCCTTCCTCCCTCCCTCCCTCCCTCCCTCCCTTTCTTCCTACCTTCCTTCCTTCCTTCCTTTCCTCCCTCCCTCCCTCCTTCCCTCCTTCCCTCTTTTCTTTCTCTCTCCTCTCCCTCTTTCTCTCTTGCTCTCCTTCCTTCCTTCCCTCCTTCCCTCCTTTCTTTCTTCCTTCCTTCCTTCCTTCCTTCCTTCCTTCCTTCTTTCTTTCTTTCTTTCTTTCTTTGTTTCTTTCTTTGTTTCTTTCTTTCTTTCTTTCTTTCTTTCTTTCTTTCTTTTCTTTCTTTCTTCTCTCTCTCTCTCTCTTTCTTTCTTTCTCTCTTTCTTTAATGGTAAAATGTCATTTTGTATTTTTGGTAACTTGTCTATTCTCTACCCTGAAGTTGAGTTGGAGACTTTTTTTTCTTTCTGACTTCTCCTTTGGATTGCAGCATTTAAAATTCAAAGCTGCCTAATGGGCTGTTTAGGGGGCAGTGAGACCTCTATCGCTAGAGACATTTAAACACCTGATAAGGGGTTGGACTGAATGACTGTTTTCAGGATTGCAATTTGTGATTCTATATCCCATGTTCTCAGAGCACTTAATAAGGGCAGTTAAATGAAACATTTAGTTTAAACAGTTATCCACTTATAGCGTCTATGAGACTAAATGCATTTTGCATATGTTTAAGATGACTTTTACTACGGTAAATAAAATCTTACCATTTTCCTGATGCTCACAGGAGATTCTGTGACATCAGGTACTGGAAATGCATTTAAGCTCACTCAGCAATTGTTTGTTGCCATACCACATATTTTACCAGTCATTTAACTTGATCAATTTTTTAATAAGACAAATATATTGTATAAAGTGACACTGCAATTTAGACAAGGGCACCTAATATTTTACAAACCTCAAATCTGGGAAAGAAAAAGTGCCTTTTTCCCCTTGCTACCCACAGATACAAAAATAAACGCTTTAGTAAGGATTCTGGGCAAGGATTCAGGAAGCTTGAGTCCTAGTTTTGGTTCTTCTATAGATAAGAAGGACTGAGGGCTTTACATTTTGTTCAGTGTATGGAAATTCAAGCTACAAAGTAGTAGTTTAACAGACACCAGGAGCTGGGCCTCTCGTGCACGATGCCATTATAGTAAACCTTTGAGGCATCAAGGGGCTATTAAAATAGTTTCCAACACAGCACAGAGACCCAGTGCTGGATGGAACATTCTGTCTATGCAGATGAGTTCAGAGCTTGGGAGAAAATAGGATCTGGGCTCCTGAGAATTGTAATAAAGACTGAAAGCTCTTGCCTCCAGCTTCAGGGCTTCTGGGTGAGGTTCTGCTTCGGTCACTTGATAGCCCTTCACCATGACATAAGCAAAGAGAATTCTTTCCACCTGATGGAGAAATTCACTGATAGTTACTCCACAGCCTTATGGTAGATGCCTCATTTTGACTTCCACTTCAGAAAGCTTCCCTCTGCTTTCTCTTGTTAATTCCATCTTCTCAATGGAATCCTGTATCCCATTTACCTAGAGAAAAAAAAGATTCTTTCAAACAAGACAACAATTAAAAATCCAACGAATCAATCAACCCTCACTGTTTTGCTCAGATGGTCTTTGATGCCACTTTTGTAATATTTTGAGTGTGCAGTGGAAAATAAGATTTTTGCAACATGTCCAGACCTCTGCTGATACCTTCCCCCTCTCTATCTTGTCTAAATTAGGTCCCTCCACTTTATACTGTCACGATACCCAGCACTTGCCCTTAGCAGTCCTTGACGCATTTGGATGACTATTTCCTGAATGACTTTCTCACTCTCTAGATAAAAATCTGTAAAACCAATGATCCCGCCTCTCTTGTTTACCATGTTTTATTCACCCAGCAGCCAGCATAGAGCTTGGAACAGTAGGTACCCAGGAAGTACGTGGTTCAGACACTTACTCTGGTTTCTTCTCTGGAGTGTTGGATTAGGTGGGGCTGGTGTAGTCATCTGGTGATGTGGTTTACTAAAGGAATCAATGAGGATGTTCTGATCAAGAAGGACTTCACACTTCTCCCATTGATTTATTGATATCAAGTAAGTGCCAGTTCTTTCGGAATTCCTGTCTTATAATTTGCCTGCTAAGGTAAATGTGGATGAAGAAGAAAATTTTGTAATAATTATAAAAGAAAAAAAAATGTACCATGCCTAACATTTATATCCTCTGCACATGCAGCAAGTCTCAGTGGGCTACTGCCAGGTCAGTTTTTCAGTCTTCTAAGAAAATGAAAGAGATTTGGAGTTCAGTTTGAAACAGGTGGAAGAGAGCTTATAGTGGGTTCTTTTATCCCTGTCAAGGTAACTCAATGTACTACATGTAGCTTGGGTTTGATCTGAAGTGTGAATCATTCATTAGGTAAATGGCTTAAAGGGGCCGGATCTAAGTCATGCATGTTGCACAAAAGTGATTGAAAGTATCAGGTTGGTGAAAATATCAGGTCCTTTTGATGATGATTGGTGGAAAGATATTACCTCTTTCTTGTATCATAAGGTAATTTTTATTTACTTCTTTTCTCCACCATCCCCTTCTTCTCTTCCCCCTTTCTCCTCCTGGACTGTCTACTCTTTCTTCGTCTTTTTTATTCCCTTTCCCACTCCCTTCCTCCTGAGTTGGCCTTTTCTGCCGGTGTAGGACAAATACCAGGTAATATTCAAAACATGCTCTGAAATGTTCTACAATTCAGAGACTTGGCCAAATCAGTTTTGGTCATTTTGATCAGGATGGAGGATACTCAGTTTCCAAACTCACAATGCATTACTAGGATAAACCTGTGTGGAGTCCTTTAAATTCCTTAAATAGCCAGAAACAGGCAGTTAGATCTTTCTTCCTTTTTAATTTTTTTTTTTGTTCAAGTGACTGCAACCACCATACTAAACTAATTATATCATTTCCTAATTTATTTGGAATGTGTATTTGTAGAGCTATACATGTATACATATCTATCTATACTTTTAAGGAAAATGAAGTCAATAGTCACCAGATTTTCGTTTTTTTAAGTCAAATAATTCCAAATGCAGTAGACCTTTTCCAAATACATAAGAACCTGAGAAGGGTGGATTTGTGTTCTCTGAGGATCTGATTTTATAGCTCGCTTACTTCATTCACTTCACCTCCGTCTCGGGGCTCGGATCATTCCTGATAAGGCGCTTGGACCATTGGTTATGGTTTCAACTTAAGTCTCGTGGCCCTACTTTATTTATTTAGATTTTGTTGTTGTTGTTAAATATTACAGTGTGCTTAATGCCAGTTTGACGAGATTTTTATTTTCCAGGTTTTCTGTCTTTCGTTTTCTGTGTTCTACAGCTTGACATGGAAGAGTTCTCCCAAAATACGGACTGTTTTCTGCCACTAGCAAACACACTGATAAATGCTAAAAGGGCTTGCCATGAATCATTTGATCACAGGATTTTAAGGCACCTCTAGGCATGATTATGGTCTCCCACCAGTCAAGCCTGAGGCGTTCTGTTAACATTCTTTTAGAAGATCAAGACGTGGAATGGTGTGATGGACATAACCGCTCTAAAATGAAGTTCTTTTGTCATGTTAGAAACAAGGGTCTATTTTGGGGGTAGGAACCAAGATAGTCTTACTTGTGTTGTATTCAGCCTTATATAAAATTTTTAATTTTTTTTAAAAAACAACAAAGCCATAATGACTCCTTATTTTCTTTCCATATTTTAAACAACTGCTGATCAAGAAAGAGTTTAATCCAAATTCCAAATCTTTGAACATATACGCCACTTTCAAAGGAGGCTGGGCAGGTTTCAATGGGCCCTAGGAGCCCATATTCTATTTCTCCGTCTGTCTCTCCCTGTCACTGTCACACCCCTCTCTCTCTTTCTCTCTTCTGTCTTTTCCTTTTGTTCCCTCTTATAACGAGGAAGAAGGATAAAAATGTGATTTGGCTGGAACAGATTGAAACTGAGTAAAGTTGAACAAACACAAATCTTCCACAATGAAATGTAAATTTGTCTAAGCTATAATGCCAAATATGTTTTTTTTTTCTTTCCTTCTCAATGGTAGCAATAACAGAGAAGCATATTGGCCCCATGATCAAGAGGGAACTTTGCCCAACTCCTGGTCTTAATGAAACAGAGACTTAAAAAACAACAGCAAGCTTCCCATGGCCTGGCAGAGTTTCAGAGTCTCAATCTGAGCAAGGCTTCAGAGAACCTCTCTACCCCCTTTGCTCTGTTTTTTTTTTTTTTTTTTTTTTTTTTTCTTTTACTTTTCTTTTTCCTCTTCCATCTTTTACCTCCCTGCACCATCAGTGTTTTCTGTGTGAAATTTTCTTGATATTTCTTAATGAGGTAACCACTTGAGAATATACCAGATCCAAAGCCTAAAGAATGGTACTCCTTGGACATACCCACTTTGATAAGGTTACCCAAGAGTTTCCCTTCCATGAAGGGCATAGCAGTTCTGCATTCTCATTATTTGTGTTTCTTCTATGTGCTCCCCATCACCTCTACCCAGGAGTGAAGCCAAGAGTTTTGCTTTGAGTAAAATGAGGTTTTGCATCCTGATGAGATGAAATGGATTAACAGACCTGGGCAACTACATACCTGGACCACATCCCCTACCGCATCCTGTGTTGGGTTTGCTTGCATCTACTGAGCTTGACCTTGAGAAGACCTTATTACTTGGGTGCTGGTATTAAATAGAATGGGCATTCCTTTTTTTCCTGACTATACTTGGAATGTTGAAAGTGACATGGATTTGAGGCATCTGGTCGCTTGGTTGAGGAACACAGAATACAGGGCATTGATATCCCAAGACAGTGCCAGTGATTCTCAATGTTTCTGAAGTAGCAGATCGCTTAGCTGTGTTTTTAAGCCCTGGAACACCAAAATCCAGTGGGCTGTTGTGGCAAGTTGTGGGTAGATGATGGAGTAGAAATGTGTACAGGTCACTCTACATTGAACTGCAAGTCCTCTGATATGAAATTCAAATAGTCTCAGGAAATAAAGCATCATTCTGGTTATCCCTATTTGGCCAGGGAGAATTTTACCCAAATCATTACAAGTGAATAATTATTTAGTTTTCTTTAGAAGTAGTTCTGGAAAATAACTTAGTATCTTAGGATACACTTTGGATACCCTTCTTTGGAAATGTCTCTTAATGTGAAGCCATTGGCCTTTTGTAGCATTTTTTCCTTCTTTCTAAGTGAAAAATATAATGTTTTAACACTTTATTTTTCCCCTTCACATTGGCTTATGACAGCTGATGAGTTGGCCTTCCAAAATGCTAATTCAAGCTTAATGTTCCTTCCAGCCATCAGTCAGCCTGCATTAGGTTTTCCCAGTTGATAATTTCCAGTTCCAGTTCTGTGAATCCAGTCTCCTCAACCTGTCATCACCTAAAATATTAGTTTTAAATTGAATAATAAAGGCACATTACATCTCCATGAAATGCAGATAAAATAGCATGGCATCTAATATTGTTATAGATCTCTATGTGAAATTACTTTAAGAAACTTTCCAAAATTATTTTCTCCTCAAAACATCAATGCTATGAGTTACTTGAGATCATCCGAGTCATCTTTTAATAGCATAAATTGTGTCCAGCTTTCTGGGTCTCTGTTTACCTACTGACTTGTATTTCTAGTCTGTGAGATATCTTCATCCCATCCTGTCCACTCAAGAAGCACAAGTTTCACATAAGATGCCTTCTTATACTGCATTAATGGTTTCTACTTTTCTACTGTGTTCTCTTTTCTGGGGCACAGGCTGGAGGGAGGGAGGATTTGCTTCAACTCTTAAAGTTGGGGTGTAACTTTCATTGGGAGTTTCTCTTGTATGTTGTTGTCACCATTTTGGAAAGCCATTTGCAATGTTGGTTGAGAGTTACATGAGGGAGAGGGAGAGAAAGGATTGCAGCTGTATTGTGCAGCTGTATTCATGAATAGTAGAGAAAGAAGGCTGAACATAGATGCTCCAGAAGAATTCACTTACTTCCTGAAGCAAAAGCTATGGAGCCAGCATAGTTAAAAGCTTAGTATCTTTCTATTTGAGATCGTGTGTAGCTATATAGTTATGATACAAACTTTGACGCCAGACTATCTGGCTTCGAATTCCAATACTAAAAAGCTGTGTGACCTTGAGTAAATTACTTATCTGTGCCTTACTTTTCTCATCTGTGAAAAAGAGTTAATCTCCTACCTTTTAGAGTTTTGTGAGAATTAAATGTTAATATAAAGATGTAGTGGGCTGGCTGGGCGCGGTGGCTCACGCCTGTAATCCCAGCACATTGGGAGGCGGAGGTGGTGGGCGGATCACAAGGTCAAGAGATCAAGACCATCCTGGCCAACATGGTGAAACCCCATCTCTACTAAAAATACAAAAATTAGCTGGGCATGGTGGTGTATGGCCTGTAGTCCCATCTACTCAGGAGGCTGAGACAGGAGAATTGCTTGAACCTGGGAGGCAGAGGTTGCAGTGAGCCAAGATCACACCACTGCACTCCAGCCTGGCACCTGGCGATGGAGCGAGACTCTGTCTCAAAAAAAAAAAAAAAGATGTAGTAGCCTATAATGAACTTTCAATAAGTGTTAGCTACTCATGATTGAATAGAACTTCTTGGTTTCATCTTCCAAAAGAGCACTTCAACCCAATTTGGTATCAACATGCCAAATGCAGAAACTAACTCCTGTATCAAATAGTCTGATCTTAATCAATGTAACTGAATGGCCTCATTGACTTTTATTTCCCCAATGAACTTAAAATTGGACACTTAATGTGAAATATGAAACTTAGAAGAATTGGAAGATTTGAGCTGTATTAATAATTCATCCATCTATTCATCCAGTGAGCATTAGTAGGTGATGTATTTTGTTCCAAACTCTGGACTAGGCCCTTGGGGCAAATAAAGATCAAACAGGCTGGGCGCCTTTAATCCTAACACTTTGGAAGGCTGAGGTGGGAGGGTTGCCTGAGCCCATGAGTTCGAGACCAGCCTGGGCAATACAATGAAATCCCATCTCTACAAAACATAGCTGGGCATGGGAGTGCATGCCTGTAGTCCCAGATACTTGGGAGGCTGAAGCAGGAGGATTGTTGTATCAATGAAGAGCCAAACTCTGTAAAATATTTGAAGAGATTTATTCAGAGCCAAATATGTGTGACCACGGCCCATGGCACAGCCCTCAGGAGGTCCTGAGAACATGTGGCTAAGGTGATTGGAGTGCAGTTGGTTTTATACCTTTTAGGGAGGCATGAGACCTCAGTCAAACACATTTAAGAAATACACTGATTTGGTTCAGAAAGGCAGGACAACTCAAAGTGGGGGGAGCTTCCAGACTATAGGTAAATTCAAACATTTTCTGATTGACAATTGGTTGAGTTTGTTTAAAGACCTGGGATCAATAGAAAGGAAATGTTCTGGTTGAAATAAAAGATTGTGGACCAAGGTTCTTTCGAAGTCTTACAGTGGCTGCCCTTAGAGACAAGAGATGACAAATGTTTCCTATTCAGACCTTCAAAACAGTGCTAGACTCTTACTCAATCTCTTCAGAATTGGGAAGGCCTAGAAGAAAAAGACCTGACTATATTAACAGAGATTCTTACAGATGCACATTTCCCCCCACAAAGGATATCTTTGCAGGGCCATTTTGAGATAAGGCAAAGAAACGTGTTTGGGGGTAAAATATTTATACTTTCTTCCTTGTCTCATAATGTGATGCCAGAGTCAGATTGGAAAGTAGGACACAATATATTTGGCTAAATAAAACCCATCTGATGGGAATTTATAGGGCATGACTCCTGGACCCCTTAGATAGAATTTGGGCAAGATAAAAAACAAACAAACAAAAAAAACAGGGCTTAGTCCTCAGTCACAAAAGTGAGTGATGAGTTTCAGTGATGGAGTTGCCAGAGCAAACACAGGAAACTCAGTTAAATTTGAATTTTAGATAAATAATGAGTAATTTTTTAGTATAAGTGTGTCCCAAATATCACATGTACTTTTGGATGATCTGATGACTAGTGCCCTTTCCCTCTCTTCCTTAATCTCCAATGCCAGTGTTGACATTGGTAGGACCAGCAATGCCGGACGAACTTATTTAATTGGAATCTCAGATAAGCTTTCTTCTTTGTAAGTCAAGAACGCCTTAAAGAAGCTCTCCAAACCCTAGACCACATTTCTGTATGTGGCAGAGTTTTTGTCTATTTATAAAATCTGCTGGGCATTCTTCCCCTACACATAAAAATTTTAATCAGAGGTACTTCCAGTTAAAAAAAAAAAAGGCTTTCGAGAATAAAACTATTTCTAAGCTTTTCACCAATTCTCTATGGAAATTTATGGAAAATCTACATGGTCTACGTGGAGGGGAGCAGCAAGATTTATAAAACACCTTTTAGATCTACTCTGAATGTTTGCATGCATGTACACACACACACACACACACACACACACACACACACACAGAATAGCATTCATCTCTTGGAAAAACAAGTGCCTGTTCACTTCTTAGGCAATGTGTGATTAACTGTAGCATCCCTTGCTGCCTTGAAGGTCTTGCACCTGAGTGTGTGTGTTCTTTTGGGATCAAACTGAATCTTCCCAGACTGGGTGGTTTCCTGTCTGAGGTGAACTCACAAAACAAGGGAGCTGCCAGGGCTGAAAATAGCACTTGGCCTGATGGCTCAAGCATGGACCAAAGCTGGAAAAGTTCTGGATTTGGGCGAATAGAATACCCCAACATCAACAGAGTACTTAATGGACTCAAAATGATGTCATAAACCTAGAGAATAAGAGTTGGAATTTCTCTGTTTAGCTCCTTCTCTTATACCACAAAGGTTTCATGATTTAATTTATCTTGTGGTTCTTCTACCTCCCACACCCAACCTGGTCAGCACCCACTACCAGCAACCTCAGTGCTGTGATGTTATTACTATAAAAAGAATACTTGATTTGACAATTCTAAGAAGTGCAGTGCCTGCATACAGTTAGTGTTCAATAAGTGTTTGTTGAATAAACTGCAAACTAAAGAGTCTACCTCTGTTACTACTCTGCATTCGTCAAAGTTAAATATTATAAAAATAAGAAAAATAAGCTGGGTGCGGGAACTCACGCCTGTAATCCCAGCATTTGGGGAGGCTGAGGCAGGTGGATCACGAGGTTAAGAGATCCAGACCATCTTGGTTAACATGGTGAAACCCCATCTCTATTAAAAATACAAAAATTAGCTTGGCATGGTGGCGTGTTCCTGTGGTCCCAGCAACTCAGGAGGAGGAGGAAG